ATGGAGTTTCTAGGCCTTCAGGAATGGGAGGTGGAACAAGCATATAAAAGACTGCTCAACAAAGCTCATCAGTATGGCCAACACCCATGGATGGGATGGATTATGAGTTGCCCACCGAAGTGCTGCAAGCCGGTGCCCTGGATTTTCAGCAATTCCAGAGACTGAGGATTTATTAGACTTTTCTGCTAAGGAGGAACAGCCCAGTTTACACATGAAAAACACACACAAAAATAAGTGGGAATATGTGTTTATGCTGCATTCAGGTGAGAATGGGATATACTAGGGAGAAAGTTTTTTTATAAAACAAGGATGACCAGGGAGAAGAGGTCAGGGTTAAAAAAAAACAAAACACATCATGCTTCAGAAGTAGCAGAAAATGTGCAGCAATTAAGAAAAACATACAACGTACTGGTGACTTTACACTGAAGTCTATGGGAGTTGTGCTGCATAAGAATTAGGGCAGCACAGTGGCTCAGTGGTTAGCACTTCTGCCTGGCAGTACTATGGTCGCCGGTTCAAATCCCAACCACGGGACCACCTGCCTGGAGTTTACATGTTCTCCCTGTGCCTGCGTGGGTTTCCTCCGGGTACTCCGGTTTCCTCCCACACTCCAAAGACATGCTGGTAGGTTAATTGGCTCCTGTCTAAATTGTTCCTTAGTATGTGTATGTATGAATGTAAGTTAGGGACCATAGATTGTACGCCCCTTGAGGGTTAGGGACTGATGTGAATGTAAAGCGCTGCGTAAATTGATTGCGCTATATAAAGTACCTGAAATAAATAAAATAATATAAAATTGCAGTGACTCATGGCACAGCCAAGAAAACTAGGAAATGGCTCCCCTGACCTCCTACCAGGTCATTTCTTTATTCATGGACCTTAGTCAGAGAGTGAGGAAACAACCAGAACTGTCTTTTATAGGAGGGACAGTGATGAGGGGATTATAGGACGAGGGTCCCCACCCCCTCTATCACTCATCGCCATCTTCCCAACACAAGAAGTACTGCACTTCCTTATTTCTCCATGATTTACTCATAAAGAACAGCGGGGCTGAGCCCCATCAGAAATAATATAAGTGGTGAAGCGCTCAACTTAAATAATCAAAAACTAGTGCATTATCCCCATATATAAATATCACATCCCTAGTGGTATAATGATACCCAAATGATAACTCTTAAGCTATGCAGATATACAAATAATAATAATATAAATAATAATGAATGAAAAACTAGTGCAATATCTTCATATATACATAATATATCCCTGGTGATATAGTGATAAACAACTAATATCTCTTAGACTGTGCAAAAGTGATACTAAAATACAATTAATAATACCAATTTACATGAAATATTAATTACAATAAATTAAATAGTGATGCCACACTGTGCAAAATTATAGAAAAGTGTTCAAATAATGTCACTCCATGCTTTCCTGGAAAGGAGTAGACGAGGTTATCCTTTGTTTCCAGAATGGCCAAATGATAAAATAACAAAAAAAAAGAGGAAGGGGAGAACGAATTAAAAAACAAAAGCAAAAAAACAAAATAAAAACAGGAGCTAATCTTAGTGGATGAATCATCTCAATGCTGAGCGCAGCTGAGGCTCTTTGTCCAGGCAGCTTTAATTGACTGCAGCAGACTAGGTGCAAGCAAGCTCTCCTGGGACACGAAGGAAGCTCTCTGGCCTGCCCTGATGCTTGAATTCGTTGTATGAGGGGAGTTATTGGAGTGTTACTTACTGCCTAGAGGAGGATCAAGGTCGGTGGAGGCAGTGGAGGAGATTAATATCTGGCAGAGATATATATATAAAAAGCTCTGTGACCCGCAAGGGTCGAATGTGGAAGGTGTGGGGGCATTTCTGCTATTGAGGGGAGTCACGTCAAGATTTTCAAGAAGAGCACTATTGTAGCATGGAGTGACATTATTTTGAACACTTTTCTATAATTTTGCACAGTGTGGCATCACTATTTAATTTATTGTAATTAATATTTCATGTAAATTGGTATTATTAATTGTATTTTAGTATCACTTTTGCACAGTCTAAGAGATATTAGTTGTTTATCACTATATCACCAGGGATATATTATGTATATATGAAGATATTGCACTAGTTTTTCATTCATTATTATTTATATTATTATTATTTGTATATCTGCATAGCTTAAGAGTTATCATTTGGGTATCATTATACCACTAGGGATGTGATATTTATATATGGGGATAATGCACTAGTTTTTGATTATTTAAGTTGAGCGCTTCACCACTTATATTATTTTTGTTTTACATATCTTGCGGTATAGAGAATTAGGTGATAGCAGCTAACTCACTAGGTTCTGTGGAGCGCAGGGGGATTTCTGTATATTTATTTGAGCCCCCATCAGAGGTCAGAGAGTGAGGAAACAACCAGAACTGTCTTTTATAGGAGGGACAGTTGATGAGGGGATTATAGGACGAGGGTCCCCACCCCCTCTATCACTCATCGCCATCTTCCCAACACAAGAAGTACTGCACTTCCTTATTTAGTCCATGATTTAGTCATGAAGAACAGCGGGGCTGAGCCCCACCAGAGGTCAGAGAGTGAGGATGGGGGGGGAGAACAACCAAGATGAAGACTGGACTGATCCTGAAGACCACCATCATTGGGGTATTGACTCCTCCCTCATTATCACTTTCTGTTTAAGGGTCCAAAGTTGGAGGATGTTATCACATTATTATCACCATGTAAAATCTGTGCTCCAATCACATCATCCGATATAAAATGTCCAGCTGGGAGGAAATGGGGTGTAAAATAATGTATTGTACAGCTTTTTATATAGGATACAAATATTAGGGTAGTACAGTATATAGTGCAGGGGTCAGGAGTATGTAATGTGCAATATAAATTATACAGTGTAAGGGTCAGATGAACTCTGGGGTCTTGACTTGGGTCTGAGACTATACAGTCATATCCCTCCACCCAGCACAGCCACCAGACCACAGAGCAAGGAACCCTGGGACATTGCTCTCTCAGTAAACTTGCTAGACCCACTAATGGGGAAGCAGATACAAGACTCATAACCCAGGTGTCTAGGTCTAGGAACATCTATGGTGAACATCAACATTTTGCTGCCAGCTGAACCCCAGAACCTCCATAAATCCAGTCTAGATACATAAATTGTGTCTGCAGCACAGAGAAGGAAGATTATCCGAGAGAAATCCAGGAATACAGGACGGGGAACACAGCTCAGGAAAGTGACCAGGGGATTACAGGCTGATATCACCCAGTCCCCGCCCTACTCTGGACCAATCAGTGAGCAGTATGGGTGGAGGAATGGATTTAGTGTTCATGACCCACCTGTGCTGATCTCTGTAGGAGTGTCCTCCTCTATAAATGTCCCCGTTTTATTCCATCCTCCTCCATAGACTGCTGATCATCCCTCACATACGCCTCTTCTTCTTCTGCTTTCACCTCAAATTCTATATTTATCAGATCTTCACTCTAAATCAAGGAAATGAGAGAAAATATCATCTGTAAAATATAAGCTTTAATATTGTGACATCACTTAAAACGTTCATATCATCTATAAAATATATTAATTCACAGAAAATATCAACACATCACCTTTACAAGTCCATGTTCTAGATTCTCCATCCCACCTACCTTGTAATAGTGAGGGATGGTGTGACCTTCCTGTGTGGAATCCCGGGAATACAGAGGATGGGGACATCTCTCTGGTGGGTTCCTGGTATTAGGTGGCTCCATCAGATCCTTGTGTCCTTCTGAAAACTCCTCCATCACTCCATACTCCTCATCCTCCTCTTTATACTCTTCTTTAACAACAATAATATAATCATCGAGGATTCCACTCTGAAAGATATAATAAAACATTCATTTTGTAACAAACATGCTGTGTATAAATCACAACTACCAATAATTGTCACTCATCTACCTGATGATGGTGAGGGATGGTGTGACCTTCCTGTGTGGAATCCCGGGAATACAGAGGACGGGGACATCTCTCTGGTGGGTTCCCATGACTGGATCCATCTGTAGGAAACACACACACTGACTGAATCCATTGTTTCTATGTGTTTATCAGATGATGGGGGATCTAGGTGGATCCTCCGTACTGCTCTCTCCTTTACAATAAAGTCTCCTCTTACCCGGTGATGTGAGGGGCGGCTGATTGTCCATCATGACGTCCTTGTAGAGATCCTTGTGTCCTTCTAAATACTCCCACTCCTCCATGGAGAAATAGACAGTGACACCCTGACACCTTATAGGAACCTGACACACACAATGATACAGTCACCATCCAGACACATCCCTTGCCTGTTACTGGAGAATGTCCCAGAATTCCCGGCACCGCTCACCTCTCCTGTCAGCAGCTCAGTGATCTCTCTGGTGACTTCTAGAATCTTCTTCTTCTTTCTCTCTTCTATCAGGGAGGGAGGTGGAGGCAATGTGATGTCATATGATCTCCAGACTTCACAGGAGGAAAACTCTACATCTGAACACAAATAGTCACATCAAATGATATTCCCAGAATCCTCCTCACCTCTCCATTCAGGTCTCCATTTTATTAAAGCCCCACTTCAGGCTGAGGTATAATTTCCCCCCCACAGGACCCCCACACTACGCAGGGTATAGGCTTGTTGCAGCATTCTGATGTCATTACATACAACGCAGGACCAACAGTCCCACTTTACATGTGAGGATACCAAGGGGCCCCCACATCCTAAGAGCATCAGAAAAAATCAGATGGAGGGACATTGGGAGGAGGAGCTGTGAGGTCAGTGTGATGTCATAGGATTCTCTGGATGGAGGGACATTGGGAGGAGGAGCTGTGAGGTCAATGTGATGTCATAGGATTCTCTGACTCTGGATGGAGGGACATTGGGGGGAGGAGCTGTGAGGTCAGTGTGATGTCATAGGATTCTCTGACTCTGGATGGAGGGACATTGGGAGGAAGAGCTGTGAGGTCAGTGTGATGTCATAGGATTCTCTGACTCTGGATGGAGGGACATTGGGAGGAGGAGCTATGAGGTCAATGTGATGTCATAGGATTCTCTGACTCTGGATGGAGGGACATTGGGGGGAGGAGCTGTGAGGTCAGTGTGATGTCATAGGATTCTATGACTCTGGATGAAAGGGCATTGGGGGAGGAGCTGTGATGTCAAAAGATTCTCTGACTCTGGATGGAGGGACATTGGGAGGAGGAGCTGTGAGGTCAGTGTGATGTCATAGGATTCTCTGACTCTGGATGGAGGGACATTGGGAGGAGAAGCTGTGAGGTCAGTGTGATGTCATAGGATTCTCTAACTCTGGATGGAGGGACATTGGGAGGAGGAGCTGTGAGGTCATTGTGATGTCATAGGATTCTCTGACTCTGGATGATGGGGACATTAGGAGGAGGAGCTGTGAGGTCAGTGTGATGTCATAGGACATATAGACTCTGGATGGAGGGACATTTGGATGGGGAGATTTGAGGGGTCCTCTATATGAGGCTCCCATGCAATCCAAATCCTTGTTCCTGGGTGCGTCCTACCTCTCCTAAACTGAAGAGTGACCTTTGACCTTTACCATCCAGAAATCTGTCCGGAATCTGTGGAAGTAAGCTGTCATGTGATCACGTGACGTGCGGAGGAACGGAGTGTAAATAGCAGACAATTGTCTCCAGAGCCCCTAATGGTGGGGATGGATTTGGCGGCGTGCTGGTGCCAAGTTTCCTCCCCCCAGGGTCACTGCAGGTGTGGAGAAAAGCTGTGTAAGAGGATATGGAGGACAGATGAGGAGGAGATCCAGGAATCAGGAGGAAAGGTCAGGGCAAGCAACAGACGAGCGCATCCAAGAGACCAAGCCGGGTCACTACACAGAAAATCAATCCAAGGAAACAACAGGCAGGACGAGGAATAGCAAGAAGGAGCTGAGAGACAAATGAGAATATTGCTCAGCCAATGGGAGATGATCTCAGCATGACTTCCATCATGAAGGAGATGAGGGGGGAGGGGAGGAAGTCACTGAAGGTGACCATAGATCCATGGAAATTCAGCTGGTTCAGCAGGGATCGCTCACATTTCCATCCATGTGTGGCCACTGCCGGATAAAAGCCACTCCCCCAGCGGCTGCAGCCAATAGCTTCAGTGCTGATCTGTGTATTCTGAGAGCGGAGGAGTCCCCCCATTATCAGAATACAAGAGTGCAGCGGGGAGGATTCCCCCATCCACCTCCAATGTGTGGATGGGGGAATCACTTCAGTTTTTATGGTCATCCCGCTGGCTGAACGATAAAACTGAACCATGTAGGCCAGCTTTGGGAGCAAATATATTATCATCAACTCCTCCCCCTGAAGGGGTTCATCTACGTATTACCTCCTCTGCTGCCAGATCCAGGAATGTCAACTCTCCGCTTCCTCCTGATTTACCTCTCCTCTAAAATGTCCTGTCTGTACCTGACATCACTTCCTGTCTGTACCTGACATCACTTCCTGTCTTCCATAGAGACTTCCTGTCTGGGTAGAAGTGAGATCCCCACCTTGTGGAGCTCAGAGGAACTGCAGCCCTGAGAAGCGTCTGGTAGTGTGACCCCGGCCTTGTGCTGGGTGTGTATGGACTGTAGATCCTTATAGAGGGGTCACCTCCACTCCCACCAAGGGGGACAGAAATATATGACTGCTCGGGGGAGGGGTTTTGGCCTTTTTGATTTGCAGTAACATTGATTGCAGATTTAGTCCTGTAGAACATCTGGTATATGGATACAAAGCCCCCCAGCCCAGATAAAGGGTGGAGAGTGATTGAAGTAGATGCAAAGTGGAAGCGGTGGACTTGCAAAGAACACTATACTGAGCACACAATATTGTCTGTCTCCATGGATTTGCACAGGATTTGAGATGATTTCCTATAGCAGCAAATCTGATGAGATGAATGAAGTGGGTGTAAAGTGGAAGCAGTGGATCTGCAGGGAGCAGCATCTTGAGCACAAAGCACTTTATGTTGTGGATGGATTTGCACACGGTTCAGTTTCCTTCATTTATTGATAAACCCCATAAGACCAATGAAGTGGGTGTAAAGTGGAAGCAGTGGATGTGCAGAGAATAGGATTTGGAGCCCCGAGCTCTTTATCTCTGAATGTCTCCACATATTTGTAGTGTATTTGTGATGATTTCTGTGCACACACAATAGGACAGCGCTGTGACACATAATGCTCTTCTAGATGACAGGGAATCCTTCCCTTTGTTACAGCAGCAGTCCGCTAGAAGGTTTTTTGTAGGTTTGGAGTTGTTACACATAGCGCGGGTTTTATCCATTTATAGTGATGACATCATTGCCCAAATCTGGGGGGTCACCAGCCATTTCCACCCTTTTCTCCCAGCTGGGGGGCTTTGTATCCATATACCAGATGTTCTACAGGACTAAATCTGCAATCAATGTTACTGCAAATCAAAGGGGCCAAAACCCTCCCCCGAGCAGTCATATATTTCTGTCCCCCTTGGTGGGAGTGGAGGTGACCCCTCTATAAGGATCTACAGTCCATACACACCCAGCACAAGGCCGGGGTCACACTACCAGACGCTTCTCGGGGCTGCAGTTCCTCTGAGCTCCACAAGGTGGGGATCTCACTTCTACCCAGACAGGAAGTCTCTATGGAAGACAGGAAGTGATGTCAGGTACAGACAGGAAGTGATGTCAGGTACAGGCAGGAAGTGATGTCAGGTACAGACAGGAAGTAGTGAGGAGAACGTTGTGGAAGTGGCAGCAGAGGAGGTAATAAGATGTTATTGTCTATTTACACCCAGTAACCCCATCATGTCCGTCCTCTTCTTCCATAGTCACATCTGTCCTCTTCCTCCATAGTCACGTCTGTCCTCTTCCTCCATAGTCACGTGCGTCCTCTTCCTCCATAGTCACGTCCGTCCTCTTCCTCCATAGTCACGTCCGTTCCTCTGCCTCCATAGTCACGTCCGTCATCTTCCTCCATAGTCGTGTCCGTCCTCTTCCTCCATAGTCGTGTCCGTCCTCTTCCTCCATAGTCGTGTCCGTCCTCTTCCTCCATAGTCACGTCCGTCCTCTTCCTCCATAGTCACGTCCGTCCTCTTCCTCCATAGTCACGTCCGTCCTCTTCCTCCATAGTCACGTCCGTCCTCTTTCTCCATAGTCACGTCCGTCCTCTTCCTCCATAGTCACGTCCGTCCTCTTCCTCCATAGTCACGTCCGTCCTCTTCCTCCATAGTCACGTCCGTCCTCTTTCTCCATAGTCACGTCCGTCCTCTTTCTCCATAGTCACGTCCGTCCTCTTCCTCCATAGTCACGTCCGTCCTCTTCCTCCATAGTCACGTCCGTCCTCTTTCTCCATAGTCACGTCCGTCCTCTTCCCCTTACATTGCTGCTCAGGAGGAAGGAAACATTCCCCAGCGGCCATGAAGAATATGTTCCATCATTGGTGTTAGAGGGAGGGAAATACTGAGGGGTCTGAGGGAAGTAGAGGAGCTGAGGGGTCTCTCAGGGGGTACTACAGATAAGGAACTTTGGGGCCCCTGAAGGGTAGTGGAGCTCAGGGCCAACCCTTAGAAGACCAAGGGACGTATTTGTCCCATGTTTTTAATTGCGTGTAGGATCTGATTAAGAACTTAAAACTTTTTTTTTTTTTTGGTTTGAGTCAAAATATTAGTTCTTATCAACAAACAACAAATGGATGGAGCTTTTTGCCAATTATTTCATGAAATGGCTTAGTTACAGCAACTGAAGTGTACGAACTTTAAAAACAAAAAAATTGATTCTTTTGGCGTTCCAAAATCTTACGGTCCTCAAAGGGTTAAGGAGGTAGAGTAGTTGAAGGACTCTGGGCCCTTGGTGGGCACTTTTCTTAGAGGAGGTCTGTTTCTGCAGCATTGCCTAAAAGGTAGTCAGGGGTCAGTGCTGAACATCTTCAGGAGACACTCCAATACCTTCCCATGACACAGGCTCTGGCAGTGCCCGGTGCTGGAATTCAGAGCCCCAGGAACCCACCACCACTCTGTACAATGTCCTGGATTCCAGAGAATTCTTGGCAACCAAGAGAACCCCCTACTGTCCTCCTACCCACACTGGGCTGTCATTGGAGGGAAGAGAACAGACTCCTCCCCCACAGCTCTCTACTCCACCAGCACCATCCTCCTGCTATCCAATCCAATCCCTTCTCTTACTGCAGAGAGTGACAGTGACATCACTCCTGTCAGTCAGCAGGCTGCCGGAGATTGGAGCCTTGCAGCCGGATATCGGGCAATTATCCAGCAACTCCAATTTAATGTCGACAAGTTCCCCTTCCTGGACCTCATGATGAGCCGACATTGACCTCACAGCACTGCCTCAGAGCAAACAAGTCATAGGAAGGATCAGATTTATCATTCCTTGTCTGCAGATCTAATACTCATCAAAACCAGTTCAGAGACCAAACAAACCCAACAGAGAAAAGGGGATTTCTGATCTGACAGGACAAGAGGGTCCCGGGACCTCAAATATGCATCAAACACTAAAACACTCCAAACTAAATGTGTTTCCAGGAGGACAGAAGTCCTGAACTGGTTCCCACCCGGCCTATTGTACAATGATGGCGGACAGGACCTCTCTCCTTCTGGAAGGACGTTGTATGATGATGTCCTCCCACTCTTGCTGTGCAGGTGGAGGGGGACGCAGCATGGTGATTGGTGGGGAGCTCAACGCATCGCTGATCAGGGAAAAGATCCAATGATGTTGTCTCTTTACCATGTGATCAGCTGTATCCAATCACAGCTGATCACATGTAAACAAAAGCCGGTTATCGGCATTTTCCTGTCCTCAGCGCTGTCACTGTCTGAGGAAAGGAAAGGAAACCGATAACCGGCTTTCCTGTGACAGGGGACATTTACTGTGATTATTAGTGCCCACCAGTGCAGCCCCATCAGTGCAGCACATCAGTGCCCATCATTGCATCCCCATCAGTGCAGCATATCAGTGCCCATCAGTGCCTGTTCATCATTGCAGCTACTTCAGTGCCATTCAGTGAAGGAGAAAAATTTTTTGCTAAATTTTATAACAAAGAAAAAAATTTTTTCTTCAAATTTATTGTTCTTTTTTTTGTTTGTTTAGCAATAAATGACCCCGTTAGTGGTGAATTAATACTGCACCACCCAAAGAAAGCTCTATCTGTCTAAAAAATGATACAAATGTAATTTGGGTTCAGTGTTGCATGACCACGCAAGGCCACGGGAGGACACGGAGGTGACACCGGGTTAGGACAGGAAGGGGAAGTGGGCTCGGAGATATGGAGACACACAGTATAAATAAGACCATCTACCACCAGCAGCCAATCCTCTTACAGCCCCCTAGAGGAGGGGAAATGCGTCAGTGACAGCTGCGGTGATGTAATTCCCGAATGGTGAGACTCATGTGGATGGGACACTTTCGGTCGGACATTTTGCTTGTATATTATATACAAATGTGAGTGTATATGGTTTGCTGTAAAGGTTTGTAATAAATGGAATGACACCATGTGGGTGATTGTTGTTATCTCCTCCCTGCATACATCATGAGATGAAACCATCAGTTGTATGATATATTGGGGGGGGGGAATTGTACACAATCATCCAGGAGGACTACAAGCTCCAGACTAACCAGGACCATGACACAGCACATAGGACTCCTATTCCAGTGTAAGAGTCCACATCCTGTGGTGGGGGAGGGGAGCACTGGAGGAGAGCACTGGAGGGGGAGCACAGGAGGGGGAGCACTGGAGGGGAGTACTGGAGGGTAGGGGGGCACTGGAGGGGGAGCACTGGAGGGGAGCATGAGATCTGCACTTTGATGAAAGGAGAAGCACAAGGCACTTTATTCCGCACGGTTGCAGTGGTTGGCGCAGTGTGATTGGAGAGGCACAAGCACATCAACTGATATAAAAGAACTATTAATATTGATGATTTTATTTTTCTATTCAGTATTTCTGAGGGATTTATATTGAATTTGGATGGATTTTCATGCAGTTGGACACGTTGGGAATGGGACACAATTTTTGCACAGACTAGGCAGCACCTAGAATAGTACTGTATATGACCGCACAATTGTCATCCAAACTGCGACAGCACTGACATCTGAAAAGTGTTCTGGTCAGGAAGGGGGGGTGGAAGTGTCCAGTATTGAGGTGGTTAGATGTCCAGCAACCTCCTATTCCCCCCTCACATCCACATCCTATTATTGTGTGACCAATACCATCCAAATACACTCACTGGCCACCCAATCAGGTCCACCTGTTCAATTGCTGGGTAACACAAACTGCTAATCAGCCAATCACATGGCAGCTACTCAATGCATTTAGGCATCTACACATGGTGAAGATGACTGGCTGAATTTTCAAACTCAGCATCAGAATGGAGAAGAAAGGGGATTTAAGTGACTTTGAATGTGGAATACTTGTATTTCAAAAACTGCTGATCTCCTGGGATTTTCATGCACAACCATCTCTAAGGTTTCCAGAGAATGGTCTGAAAAAGGGATAATATCCCAGTGAGCAGCAGTTGTGTGGAGGAAAATGCCTTGCTGATGTCAGAGGAGAATGGACAGAATGGTTGCTGCGACATTCATATGGTAGGGTCAGAATTTGGCATAAACAACATGAAAGCATGGATCCATCCTGCCTTGTATCAATGGTTCAGGCTGGTGGTGTCATGGTGGGGGGGAGATATTCTTGGCACTAGCAAGGTGGACCTAATAAAGTGGCCGGTGAGTGTAATTCTTACTTTCATTTCCCAAAGTTATCCGTCTACAAGGAGACCTGTATAGATCACATGATGGCACCAATGAGGATGGGAGGAGGACCGGAGTCACATGACTGAGAAGATACTAAACCTCACCCTGGAGATCATCTACCTGCTGACCGGAGAGGTGAGGAGGATTCTGGGAGGTCACGTGACATCACACTTTATCTCTATTAATAAAACACAGACCTGACCGGAGAGGTGAGGAGGATTCTGGGAGGGTCACATGACATCGCTCTCATCTCTATTAATAAAACACAGAAAATTCTGGGAAATGAAAAAGTAAAAAAAAAAGACCTGAACGACCGGAGAGGTGAGGAGGATTCTGGGAGGTCACATGACATCACTCTTATCTCTATTAATAAAACACAGACCTGACCGGAGAGGTGAGGAGGATTCTGGGAGGTCACATGACATCACTCTTATCTCTATTAATAAACACAGACCTGACCGGAGAGGTGAGGAGGATTCTGGGAGGTCACATGACATCACTCTTATCTCTAGTAATAAAACTCAGACCTGACCGGAGAGGTGAGGAGGATTCTGGTATTTTAACATGATATTCCTATTGGTTCCTCAATACAGAGATTTCCTCTTCTGAAGTCAGGTGATCATATGACCATCACAGTGCCTCCATGTGACTCACTAAACCCTGAGAGACACAACATGCAGAAGATTCTAGAAGTCACCAAGAAGATGATGGAGCTGCTGACAGGAGAGGTGAGCGGTGCCGGGAATTCTGGGACATTCTCCAGTAACAGACAAGGGATGTGTCTGGATGGTGACTGTATCATTGTGTGTGTTCAGGTTCCTATGAAGGTGTCAGGGTGTCACTTGTCTATTTCTCCATGGAGGAGTGGGAGTATTTAGAAGGACACAAGGACCTCTACAAGGACGTCATGATGGACAATCAGCCGCCCCTCACATCACCGGGTAAGAGGAGACTTTATTGTAAAGGAGAGAGCAGTACGGAGGATCCACCTAGATCCCCCATCATCTGATAAACACATAGAAACAATGGATTCAGTCAGTGTGTGTGTGTTTCCTACAGATGGATCCAGTCATGGGAACCCACCAGAGAGATGTCCCGTCCTCTGTATTCCCGGGATTCCACACAGGAAGGTCACACCATCCCTCACCATATCATCAGGTAGATGAGGAACAATCACTGATAGTATCATTAGGATCTGTACATTATCTGCATTGTTACCATTGATGTCATTTTTTATTATATATTCCGAGTGGAAACTGAGAGATCCTAAAGTTGAGGTTAAGGAAGAGATAAAAGAGGAGGAGGATGAGGATGGGGGGATGGAGGAGTCAGAGCTTCTAAAAGAACACAAAGATCTGTACCAAGACACCATGGTGGAGTCATCCAGCTACAGGAACCCACCAGAGAGATGTCCCTGTCCTCTGTATTCCCGGGATTTCCACACAGGAAGGTCACACCATCCCTCACCATCATCAGGTAGATGATGACAATTATTGGTAGTTGTGATTTATTACACAGCATGTTTGTTACAATGAATGTTTTATTATATCTTTCAGAGTGGAATCCTCGGGGATGATAATATTGATGTTAATGAAGAGTATAAAGAGGAGGATGAGGAGTATGGAGTGATGGAGGAGTTTTTCAGAAGGACACAAGGATATGATGGAGCCACCTAATACCAGGAACCCCCCAGAGAGATGTCCCCGTCCTCCCTATGTATTCCCGGGATTCACACAGGAAGGTCACACCATCCCTCACTATTACAAGGTTGGTGGGAATGGAGCATCTAGAACATGGACTTGTAGAAGATGATGTGTGGATTTTTATGTGACCTTATATTTTACAGATGATATTTTCTCTCATTTCCTTGATTTAGAGTGGAGATCCAATCGATATAGAATTTGAGGTGAAAGCAGAAGAAGAAGAGGCGTATGTGAGGGATGATCAGCAGTCAATGGAGGAGGATGGAATAACGGGGACATTTATAGAGGAGGGACACTCCTACAGAGATCAGCACAGGTGGGTCATGAACACTAAATCCATTCCTCCACCCATACTGCTCACTGATTGGTCCAGAGTAGGGCGGGGACTGGGTGATATCAGCCTGTAATCCCCTGGGGTCACTTTCCTGAGCTGTGTTCCCCGTCCTGTATTCCTGGATTTCTCTCGGATAATCCTTCCTTCTCTGTGCTTGCAGACACAATTTATGTATCTATACTGGATTTAGTGGAGGTTCTGGGGTTCAGCTGGAAGCATAATGTAGGCACCCAGGACATGTGACTGGGGTCTCCTGCCTTGTTGCCTGACTCCTCCAGGGGACCTTCTCTGTTATCTGCTGGCTGTGCCGGGTGGAGGGATATGTCTGTGAGTGTCTCTCAGACCCAAGTCACTGAGTGCAGTCTCAGGAGATGGGAGGCAGCGGTGTGGGACCTACATACTTACATAGTTAGTCTGGCTGAAAAAAGACATCCATTTAGTTGTACCATTAAAAATAAAAGTTATAATCCGACACCCACAGCTGATCCACCAGAAGGCAAAAACCCAGCAAAGCACGATCCGATCTCCTCCTGCAGGGGGAAAAAATTGCTTCCTGATTTCCCCCGAGAGGCAAATCGGAATATTCCCTGGATCAACTTTCCCTATAAATAAAATTATAATCCAGTTTATATTCTGTGTATCCAAGAAAGACATCCAGGACTTTCCTACAGCAACCCCCCCCTTATGTATTATACATGGAGATCATATCCCCCTTATGTATTATACATGGTGATCATATCCCCCCTTATGTATTATACATGGGAGATCATATCCCCCTTATGTATTTATACATAGGAGATCATATCCCCCCCTTGATGTAATAGTACATGGAGAACATATCCCCCTTATTGTATTATACATGGAGATCATATCCCCCCTTATGTATTATACATGGAGATCATATCCCCCCTTATGTATTATTACATGGAGATCATATCCCCCCTATATGTATTATACATGGAGATCATATCCCCCCTTATGTATTATACATGGTGATCATATCCCCCCTTATAGTATTATTACAAGGAGATCATATCCCCCCTTATGTATATACAAGGAGATCATATCCCCCCTTAATGTATCATACATGGAGATCATAAATCCCCCCTTATGTATCATACATGGAGATCATATCCCCCCTTATGTATTATACAATGGTAATCAAATCCCCCCTTATGTATTATACATGGAGATCATATCCCCCCCCATGTATTATACATGGAGATCATATCCCCCCTTATGTATTATACATGGAGATCATATACCCCCTTATGTATTATACATGGAGACTCATATCCCCTCTTATGTATTATACATGGAGGATCATATCCCCCCCTTATGATATATAAGTACAAGGGAGATTCAGAATATCCCCCCTTATGTATTATACATGGAGATCATATCCCCCTTATGTATTATACATGGAGATCATATCCCCCCTTATGTATTATACATGGAGATCATATCCACCCCTTTATGTATTTAGGGGTAATACATGGAGATCATATCCCCCCCTTATGTATTATACATGGATATTCATATCCCCCTTATGGAATTATACATTGGAGATATTTCATATCCCCCCTTATGTTATTATACATGGAGATCATTATATCCCCCCCTGTATGTATTATACACGGAGATCATATTCCCCTTATGTATTATACACGGAGATCATATCCCCCTTATGTATTATACATGGAGATCATATCCCCCCCCCCTTATGTATTATACACGGAGATCATATCCCCCCTTATGTATTATACACGGAGATCATATCCCCCTTATGTATTATACATGGAGATCATATCCCCCCTTATGTATTATACATGGAGATCATATCCCCCTTATGTATTATACATGGAAGATCATATCCCCCCTTATGTATTATTACATGGAGATCATATCCCCCCTTATGTATTATACATGGAGATCATATCCCCCTTATGTATTATACATGGAGATCATATCCCCCCTTATGTATTATACATGGAGATCATATCCCCCCCTTAATCTCCTCTTCTCAGTAGAGAATACATTCAGTATCCTCTAATCTTTCCTCATAGCTGATCTCCTCCATGCCTCGTATCAGTTTGGTTGCCCTTCTCTGTACTTCCTCCAGTTCCCCAATGTTCTTTTTGTGAATTGGAGCCCAAAACTGGAACTGCATATTCCAGTTGAGGTCTTACTAATGATTTGTACTCGGGGGGGGAGGAGGGGGGGGTGATATCTCTCTGGAGTCTCTACCTCTCCTAATACAAGAGAGGATTTTGCTCACTTTAGAACCTGCAGCTTTTCATTGCTGCCATTATATAGGCTGGATAATTTACCAGAACCCCAGATCCTTCCTCCACCATTGACCCCCCCCCACAGATCCTTTACCATTGACCCATCCAGATCCTTCTCCACAATTGCCCCAGATCCTTCTCCACCATTGTCCCCCCCCCAAATCCTTCACCATTTGTCCCCCCAAATCCTTCTCCACCATTGACCCCCCCAGACCCCTTCTCCACCATTAACCCCCCAGTTGTACCCCCCCTATGTATGTATGATGCATATCTTATGCCCACCCCCCCAAGTGCAGGACCTTACATTTATCACCATTAGCCCTCATTGGCCCCATAGTCCCCCAATTACACAGAGCATTGATGTCGGCTGTAAGTTGGAGACTATCCCTGTAAGGACGTTATTCCGCCCGGCACAGCTTGGTGTCATCTGCAAGACTGGAAATGGGATTTATAATCTCACACCCCATATTGTTTATATATATATTAATTAGTAAGGTGTTCCCCAACACAGAAACCCTGGGTACCCCACTAATAACACAGAACCCTGGGGGTAACTACTGAACCCCAGGGGTACCCCACTAATAACACTGAACCTAGGGGTACCCCACTAATAACACTGAACCCTGGGGAACCCCTTTAAAAAACACTGAACCCCTTGGGGGGGCCCCAAAAAAATAACAAAAGGGAAACCTTTTGGGGTTAACCCCCCCTAAAAATACTGAACCTTGGGGTACCCCACAAAAAAAAATGAACCTTGGGGGGACCCTACAATAAAAACGAACCTTGGGGGGACCCCCTGACACCCCCAGACCATTCCCGAGTAGAACATTAACCACAAACCCTGGGGGAAAACAACCTTTTATCCAGGGTTTTCTATCCATTTACATTTTAGATTTTTTTCCCTCCCCCAAAGACTTTACCCTTACACCTTAGCCCGGGGGTGTGGGGGAAAATGTGTTCCCCAAATATCCACTTTCCCCCGCCAAACCCCCCTGTCCAAAATATACCCCGGGCCCCTGCCCCCCTCTGTCCAAGGGATACCACGCCCCCGCCAAACCCCCTTTCCAAGTATACCCGTTTCCCCCCGCCACCCCCTGTCCAAAAGGGTTTTCCCGGGCCCCCCGGGCCCCCCCCGTCCAAAAAATAACCCACCCTCCCCCCTCCCGGCCCAAAACCCCCCCCGGGGCCAAATATACCCCATTCCCACCCCCCGGTCCCAATTTCCCCCCCCGTCCACCCCCCAAGGGATCTCCCCCTCCAAAAACCCAAAACCACCCCCCCAAGATCCCCGCCCGCCAAAAACCCCCAAAAAGTTTCCCCCATTTTAAACCCTTCCCCCCCGTCCCCCCCCCAAACCGGCCCCCCCCCCAAGGTAAAACCCCCGTCCCCCACCAACCCCCCCGCCCCCCCGTTCCCCCCGCCCCCCCACCCCCCCCACCCCCCCCTGGCCCCCCCCCCAATAAAGGGTTTTTCCCCGTCCACCCCCACCCAACAACAGCCCCCCCCACGCCAGCCCCAGGGGCCCCCCACAACTCCCCCCCGCACCCCCAATTTCCCCCCCCCAACCCCCCAGAAGTTGTTCACCCCCCTCCCCCCCCCCCCTCCCCCCCGGCCCAAAAGGGATTAACCCCCCCCCCACCCCCCCCAAAACCCCCCTTCCAAAGGATACCCCCGCCCCCCCGCCAAACCCCCTTTTTTGTCCCCCCCCCCCAACCCCCTCCCCCAACCAACCCCCTCTTTCCCATGTTTTACCCCCCCCCCCACCCGCCCCCCCCCCTCCCCCTGGTTCCCCCCCAAATGGACCCCCCGTTCCCCCCCCAGCCCCCCCCCCACCCCTCTGTCCAAGTTTACCACGTCCCCCCCCCTCAAAATTCCCCCCACCCCCCTTTTCCCAAGGGTTTCCACGCCACCGCCACCCCCTCTTCCAAGTATACCAGTCCACCGCCCCCCCTCTGTCCAAGATACCACGGCCCCCACCACCGCTCTGTCCAAGTATTCCCCGTCCACCCCCCACCCCCCCCTTTCCCAAGTGTTTCCACGTCCACGCCCCCCGCTCTGGTCCAAGTATACCATAGGGGACCACGATCCCCCCCTCTGCCCAAAGGGGTAAACCCCGTGCCCCCCACCAAAACCCCCCTGCCCCCCCGTCCAAGTTTAATTACCCCCCCAAAAACCAGCCCCCCCACCCCTTGTAATTAAGTGAAAACCCCGGTCCAAAACCCCGCCCCAGGGCCCCCCTGTCCCCAAAATACCACAAAACCACCCCACCCTTTTCCAAGTATACCACGTCCACCGCCCCCCTCTGTCCAAAAAGTAACCCAACCCCGTCCCAAAACGCCCCCCCACCCCCCTTGTTCCAGGAGTTGGGTTTTCCCTCCAAAAAATCAACCCCCCTTTTCCCGAGGTAATTTCCCCCCCCACCCCCCCAAAAAACCACATGGCCCCCCCAGTGTAAAATTCCCCCCGACCCCCGCCTTCCACTAAAATTTGCCAAAAAAATCCCCCCCACCCCCCCCTTTAATTACCCCCAAACCCCCCCGAAAATTTTTAAAATCCTAAACCCTTGGCCTATCCCCCCTTTAATCAAAAAATTCCCCGAAAATAATTAGAGGGCCCAAAAAAGGACTTCAAATCCGACCCCTGCACTATATTCTCTATGTTGTTTCATTACAAACCTCCCCGACCCCCTGGGGAC